TTGATCAGACTGGCCGACAGAAATAAACCTGTAAAAGAATCCTTCCTTCAAGATGTGTGGTAGTAGCCCACACACTCATTCCAAAACACACCGTGAAGGCTTCTACTCCCAAGTCTCCGAGAGATCAGACAAACATTAATGCTACCAATAGAAGATCCTATCTACCAAGTTGTCCTTGCAAATACTAAAAAGTGGGAGGATGGGGAAGAATCAAAACAATTTATCAGAAGATTATAAAAACCAGTAAGAAAATCACTAGGATTAAATAAAATATATGGGCAAAGAATCTGAACAATGAAAAAAAGGGTAATTTTCTTTTATTTTTTTAGATCATTTATTTACTTTCGGACAGAGGGCAAGGGAGGGAGAAAGAAAGGGAGAGAATCATCAATGTGTGGTTGCCTCTCACACACCCCCTGGGGACCTGGCCTGCAACCCAGGCATGTTCCCTGATTAGAAATCGAACTGGAGACCCTTTGGTTCACATGTCGGCACTCGATCCACTGAGCCAAACCAGCCAGGGCCATAAAAGGGTAATTTTAAATAGATAGTAAGTAGGAAAAAAATTCAGTCTCGTTAGCATTAAAAATACTCATTAAACAAAAAAATTCAATTGTAAGCAATTTGATAATTTAAGTTATATTGTTTAATGCTGGTGCAGTACAATGAGTCAGATGCAATTATCAAGTGAACTTGGAAATGGGTTCAATTCACTATTTGGCAAAATGTCTCCAAAACCTTAGTTCACAATCTTTGACACAGTAATATTCAATTTCTAGGGAATATTTCATAACGTCTACAAAATATCTTTGCACAAAGATATTCACCTTAACGTTGTTCTAATAAAGAACATTTAGAGCCTTTTAAATATCCAACAATAGAGGAAGTATTATTTAAATTCTTTCTCAATAATGTTTATGGGGAATTTTAATGATGGGAAAATTTTTGTGATAAAGATTACATAATTGTATGATTTCAAATTGCATATGTCAAAATATCAATTACGTCACATGTGCACAGGCAAAAACTGAAAAGAAACACACCAAATAGTTAAGAATATAGTAGTGTTCCTCTGAGTCTCAGAGTCTTTGGGGTGATTCTTTTTCTTCATTATACCTTCATGTGTTCTCTATAGTAAAAATGCAGTAATTTAAAAATGAGCAAGAAAAATAAACACTCTTTTAGATGATGACATTTCACATTTTAAAAATCTCAACGGGGGTGACTTTTCCTCCGTGGGACTCTACGCTGCTTTAAATGCTGAAAGTTTCCATCTAATGAGCCACAAAGTTTGAAAGTAGAAGGCAAATCTGCCGCTGCCCTCCTCTCCTCCCATCCATGTCTAGTCAGCCTGCTTTTCCAGGATGCTGCCCATCGGTCCAGCCCACACTGCTCTCTATGGCTCCCATGCCCTCACTCTGAATCATAGCCTTTTCTTTCATTCATCTGTTTCTTGGTAACTATCACGTTCCTCTCAAAGTCACTGAACAAACGTTCGCTGAGCACGTCCTCCAGGCTGGGCTCTGCACTAGACTCTTGGTGTTCCTGGCAGGAAAAGCGGTGCTTCCCATGTCTTGGGCATGGCTTGGGGCATGGCCTGGGGCTGGGCACACTGAGGTAAGAGCCAGTCAGGGGGCACCACTGACAAAGCCCTACACTCAGTCTCCTCCTACTGTTCCCACCTCTCAGACATCTCACCATCTCAACTGCCTCTTCTCCTGAGCAGGCCTCACTCATCTTGTCACCAAGGGGGACCCCTACCAGGCCCCGACCTCCAGTCTCCAATGCTCCATTCCATACCCACACTCTACCTGACTCATCTTTCTAAAATGAAAATCTACATACCCCCTGCTCAAAACCCCTCAATGCCCCTCACCGCCACCCTCGTTTCCCATCACTGCTGCTCCTAAGACAAATTCTAAACTTTAACGTGGCTGTGTTACTGGCCCTTACTAACCCTGTAGCCTCGTGGGGTACCTATCATCTCCTTACATTTTTATGTAATTATACTCCATGGATTTTGCTGGAGCACTTTCTAGGTGTCAGGCACTATGCTGGGTGCAGGGCACTGGCCATGAAAAAAGACACACCCTAGGCCTGGAATTCAGTCTTCACTGTAGCTGCTTTCTGTCCTGGCTACTCAGAGTGTGAGGTGTGGATAACAGCATTGCCATCATCTGGGAGCAGAATCTCTGCCCCTTCCCCAGACCTACTGAATGGAAATAGTTCGATTTGTGGGTGATTTCCCAGGCATGTCCAAGTCTGAGAAGCCCTGCTTTGTGTCTCTTCAAACTTCAGTGCTCACTCTGACCTGTTGCCTCTCCACAAGCATTCCAATGGCCTGGGGCACTCTCCACTCTTCTCTCGGCCTAATTGCACCTATCCTTCAGTTTCTGCATGGATTTCCTGTTTGCTAGGAAGACTTCCTCCCCCGACCTCCTAAGGTGGGGATAAGTAACTACCTTATGTGGTGTCACCATCAAAACACTACCACTCTGTCCTGCAGATGCTGCCCCCACCCATGCAAATGCTCTAAGAGTAGAAGCTGCATCTATCTTTCCAAAACCATATCCCTGCAAGCAAGCCTAGTGTCTGACATATGGGTCAATAAAAAGCTGTTGAAAAAAAGCATAGAATTTGGTGCAACTGGAATATAATTCCCAGGCTTAACAAAAAGTTTCTAAATTCCTCAGGAGATGGTAGATTTTGAGGAGTTGGGGGCGTGAGCAGGTTCCTGGGAAGAAGGTAGCACTGCCTTCATCAATCTCATCCTTCACGTGTTATGTGCAGACCTAGCCTCTATGGAGCCCCTGCTAGCCCAGCCCAACCCAGCAGACATCTCTGTTTGAATGGGAAAGAGAAGCTCCCCACTCAGCCCAGGTGCAGTTCTAGGCCAGGGCGCATGGAGGGCTCAGCAAGCAAATCACAAGTCGGCTTCTAGTTGCCCACAATGTGTGGTATCAGGTGTCCGCTCTGCCTTGTGCCCACAGTCGTGCCATCCCCATCTAAGCAGAATGGCTGTGCAGCAAGCACTGGAAACCAGCTCTTGGCTCTGCATGACCTCAGGTGAGGAATTCAACTAGCGAACTTCTTATACAATGGAGCTAAGTACTATCCGCCATGCCTCCTTCACAGGGCTTAGAGAGTGAACGTTTTAAAATAGAGTGGAGTCATGCCTTCCACAGACTTTATTCTCTAAAGCCAAAGGATAAAGTAAAAATTGCACTTGACCAAAATCACTGTTGAAAATGCTTTAACACCACGTGTGAAGTAGAGCCCATGCCCAGGCTGACATTCGTCAGTAAGCCCACCTCCGTCGATACTCAAGAAGGTGAGAGATGCTGATTCTTTGTAGAACACAGTGGATCTAACTGGCCTACACGCAGAGGCAATGTCTACCTGAAGTATAGAACTTCATACACCAGAAGCACTGTCACTGCGATGAGATACGATATGAGACCTTCACCCTTAGAGGAAGAGGGAATTTCCTTTTCCCATCTCACCCTCACTTGGGAGCACATGCTCACTGAAGGGAATGGCAAGTAAAATCACTAACTCAATTCATTTATGTTTCCTTTCCTTTCCCTTCTGTGCCAAACACATATAGTTGAATTTGAGCAAGATAAATGCATAGTCTAATGAAGCTTGAAACCTCTGAAGCAAAATATAAATGTAAAAGTTATTTTGGTGACACACCTGCCCAATTTGTATTCTACGTCATGGGGAAATCCACACTTTGGTACGCAAAGCTGTTGGTGTGGAAAACCTTTACCTTACTCTATCACCTGGATACACGTGCGGAGAAGGCCACTGCCAGCACTCTCCTGGTCAGAGCTGTCGCTTCGAGTTGTGTTCCCCGTAGTGGAAGGACCGGCAGAAAACCTTGCACAGTCTTTTGCCTCACGGCTCTTATGCTGAGTAGTGAAGTGGGTAGTGAGACCCACTGGCTGCAGGAGTGAGATGGAGCAAAGCAACATTTCTGGCACAAAAGCTACAGCTACAAAAGCTCTCATCCAACATCTCAAATTCATGGATGCCCAGAGCTGGTCTGCCAGGTCAGCATCTGCATGGGTCACCAAGAGAACAGTCCTTTCAGTTACCTACGCCAACAGGCAGACAGAAAAATAGTCCCCACTCCTTCCAGATAAAAGCAGTAGGAGCCCTCTGCTTTCCAGAGCAACACGTGTCACTTTGAATGTCACCAAAATAAACACATCCTCATGCACCATCTGGGCCACTCTGGGAATGTGCTATTGCACCTATGACCTATCATTCAATTCTACACATAAAGAACAGGATTCTTTACAAACAAAATAGCATTTTTTAGAAACAAAGCACTCTTCAAAATCTCTGCAGCCCACTACGGCCATATGCCCCACTTTCCCTCCTTCCAATACCGCTAATCTCCATTCTCCTGAGAGAAAAGCAAGCTTTAACCTTGTGCATGGTGATGGACCTAAAGCTCCTTTGACATACTTTGGGGAACTAATCATCCAAAACAAATACAAATTAACAAAGCACTGTGAGTATTAATACTGTCTATAATGAAAAACTGAGGTCATCGGGAGAGCAAAATTTTATTCAAAAACTCCTAATTGGGCACCTTACTGGCATTACCTGCTGTGCTAAGTGCTAAGATACAAAGATGAACTGCACACAGTTTCTGTCCCAGTTTCTGTCCCTTCCCTTCCCCCGAGAAGGGGTAAAGTCTACAAGTGCTTTAAGCCAGAATTCACCATAAGTAAACCAACAGGAAAAACACTAACGCTTGGCTGGAAAAAAGTCAAGAAGTTTTGATTAGATAGTGACAAGTTCAAACGTCCCCGTGAGGAATCATCTAACTCATCAATCCATACCATTTTTTCCAACACACACAACAGCTTCAAGTAGCGATGTTTAGCTAATGGGAGAGAAGAAAACCCAAGGCAGCAACAGGAAGAGGAGGTATTTTACTCTGCCAAGCACATTAAGACATGGTTCAGAATAGTCTGGATACTCACTGTTCTTCTTGTACATCAAAATTTCGAAGGAATTCATCTCATAGTTCTCAAATGTTTGCCGCACCTTTTCAATTGTATCTTTATCAGTCAGCTCCCCATACATAAAACTGCAAATTAAGCAAAGAGCTCAAGTTAAATTAGCAAATATTTATTGTTCTACCTGCATATGTTAAATATCTGTTCTATATCTAACACTGTGCTATGTAGAACAAACACACACAGAGATACAATAAAAACATTCAATCAAAGATGCTGTACTAATTCCACTGTGATGAAGAGTCCATCAGAGCCCCCCCAAATGCACAGTCTAATAAGAGAGACCGCTGGAAAAGGACAGGTCAGAAAACAGGAAGACCAACACGTAGGGAACTACCAAACACAAAACATTCACAGAGTGCTGCCTGAGTGGTCGGAGAAGGCTCCCCAAAGGTCAAAAGAAGTGAGCGCTCAAGAGCAATGGAAATTAGCATGAAAATAACACTCCAGGCAGAAGATGGGCACGTTCAAAGGCACAGAAGTGAGAGTGAGGTTCATTCTGGAACTGAATAGAGTTCGGTTCAGTGTGACCAGGATACAGACAATGAGGGAAGATTGCCTCAGAATACACAGAGAGTTGAGCACAGGCCAGATCGTGAGGAGAGAGAGCATGGACTTATATGGCATGCGAGTAATCTATACTTCATCCTGAAAGAACCTTAGCAAAGATGCAGAGAAAATTTGGACCGTAGATTTTTTTCTTCTAATTCCCAATAAAATAAAGAAAAGTTTAGAAAAAAATTATAAAAAGTTCACCAACCAAACAAGAACAGGGATGAAATTTGTTGCTCTAAACATTAAAACAGAGCTGAAGAACCAGAAGATTCAGCTATGAATCTGTCCTGCCCCACAAAAAGTGGAGGGAAGCATTGGGTTAAAAAAAAACTGAGATAAGAAAATCCTACAAATTCTCACTCTCTACTGGTCACAATTAGAGAAGAGGGGACTAAGGGGGTAAAGCAGCAGCATGGGAAAAAGTCAGAGAAAACTGCTGGTGAGCAGAAGTGCCTGCCTACTAGTGCTGGCTCTCAGAAAATCCCCCAGACTATCCATGTTCCTTGGCCCCACTGAACTTGGTCTGAAACCCAGGGCGTGTCCCTCTAGGAATAGGATACACCAAGTAGGCGGAGCAACATGGCACAGGGCATTAACAAAACGTGAGAGGAAAAAAATCCATCTCCCAGTGGAGCTGCAAAAGCCAGTCCTCTGACAAAGGCTGCAGTGAGCATCTACCCTGCCCAGCCCAGGCCTCCAGGCAACAACAACCTGGACAGCAACAGTCAGCCCTCAGGTCTTCAGTAACACAGAAGCAGTGGCAGGGGTTCCTCAACAATATGCTCCCCATCTTCTGACACTGTGCATACCAAACACAAGCTAACCTAATCGTCATGACTTACATCACAGAATTATAGAATTTCCTAGCTAAAAAGGGCTTCAGAGCTTATGGAGTGTCATTCCTGAACCACCAGCTCAAGGGCCATGCTTAGCTTGATACTGGAACAGCCTTGGGCTTATCGCAGGCTTCCAATTTCCAGCCCCCTGCAAGGAAAGTGTCCTAGCTGAGGACTTCATGAATTCTGTGTCACTTCCATTTATTATATCCCTTCCCAGCCCACTGAGAGCTGTTATTATCTGTGGTTCCTCTATACCTATCTCTTGTATATTTGGCCTTCGGGTTGTGTTCTTCGTCTGTAAACCAGGAAAAGAAATGACCGAGCTTGTTGAATTATCTTTTAAAAAAATAGAGCAAGACTAAATTAGCCCTGCTAAGAACAAGAGGATTTCTCCTAAAAGGTAAAAACTAAAGATCTATGACCATTTCATTTAGCTGGTTGTCCACAGGCCTTTTTAGCTTCCACTTTCTCTGCGTTAACGTGCTTAGATGCATGACCTCCATGTAAGTGATGTGAAGCTATAAATGTTGGCAATTTCCTTCACAAGGTAAAACAAATGCCTGTAAAATGGAGTCTTCATATGAAAGAAGTGCCATAATGACACCCAACTTCCATTCTCTCATGTGCTTTTTAAAGCTGCAGTGTAAGAAAGATTCCTTTGCCTGAACATTAGATTTCAGATGCCTGCAATGCAAGAATTAAGCGCAAGACGTTCCTGAACCATAAGAAATACAGCTAGCATAGTATATGTTTACTTTCTTTCTAGAGAAGGGACAGCTTCAGAGAATGAAACAAGCTTCTTTGAATTGTATGTAAAAAAAGTTGGCTAAATGAGCAAACATATCTGCTTTTCTTAAAGTGTCTGATTCTAGCCCATAAGAAGCAGGAATGATAAGGAGCCCTGGCCATGTGTCTCAGTTGGTTGGAGTGTCCTTCTGTGCACCAGAAGGTTGCCAGTTCAATCCCCAGTTGGGGCACATGCAAGATGTTCCTCTCTCACGGGTCCTCGGGTGAGTATAAAAAATAAAGAAAGGACAGCTAAGAAAAGGCTGCTTTAGTCCCACTACAAAGTAAAGCCAACTCTCCTGGTCTGTTCTGATTGCATATGCGCATATACAGATGTAGATCTAGACATAGACTCAAAAGAGGATAAAAGCATAACCAGACCGGAAGAGGATTCTATTGTATTACTTAAGAGTCGTCATTTCTGAACCTTTGAGCGTTGACAGTGGGGTGGGGGAGTATAGACAAAGAGCATCTTAAATTTTCTATTTTCCAGTCCTCAAAAACTAAAATTAAAGAAAATGGTAATGATTTCAGAACATCTCCTATTTTTCACCAAACTTGGTTGACTTAATATCCTGGAAATTCACCTTCTGAAAAACAAAGACGATGCCTGAGTCAGACAGGTTTTCCACCCTTCATAGATGAATTTACTTCTTGATTTGGAAGGACTGGGAAAATGATTCTGCTTCATGAAACACACTGAAGACAGAGGACTCAGAAGGAGGAGGAGAGTGAGAGGAGCCAAGGGCTGTGCTGAGTGAGCCAAGGCCTTGCCAGGGCGCTGCAGGGAAAGGCCAGGCAGGGGGCAGACCACGTGTTCCACTCAACACCTCCAAGATGCTTTAAAAGAGCTGTTCTAACACCACTGCCCAAGGGTGCTGCTTGGTTAGTAACCCTGTCAAATACGCAAGCTGTGCTGTTAGCACCATTTGCCTCTGCCGTTGCATCAGGGATCAGAGAGATGTGTAACTAGAATTAGAAGACTGTAAAATATCAGTTCTCTCCCTTCTTTTTTCCTGATGAAAAGCTCTATGAACAAAACTCTCATCTCCAACACTGTAGTTATTCTCTCACATAGTCATGAATCCTAAAAATTCATCATCTAGAATTTTATTTAAACTCCTTTCACATTCCATTTTATCTAACACTTCATCAGCTTCTGAGTTCACATTTTATAGATAAAATTATTTTTCTGAGTTTTTCTAGGTTTCCCCCCCATCTCACCAACTGGGAGCTCAGGACTGTGGGAACCATGTTTTACGCCTTCAATTTCCCCAGCACACACAGTGTGTGACCTGTAGATGATCTTACCACAGACATTCCTGAATGAACACTGAGTGAGAGAAAGGCCATTCCCACACTGAGTAAGCCATTTTCTTTTTCCGTAAGGTATCATTATACATTGTCCAACAGAACAGCCCCCATCACAGATACCTGCAGGTACTGCTTTTCTGCATCACTTCTGCCCTGTGATATCCAGACAGCTTGCAAAATCCATCATTGCTGTACACAATAGGCCAGTCCACTATCTGGGCATTCCCCAACACGAAATTAGTATCTGTTGAAAAAAAAAGGAAGAGGAGGAGGAGAAAAGGGCACATGAAGCAAGATATTAGTTGAGACTCAATGAGGACATAAATAATGTCAACCAAGCCAGGTAATTTTGCTTCCCTCCATAATAGTCTCTTGAACAGGAAAATGACCCTTCAAGGAATATAAAACAATAGTAATTTAGAGTGAATAATCTGAATGCAAATGCTAATGTTGCTATACTCCAAAAAGAAATTAGCAAAGGAAACATGCTTAACCAACCAACCAACAAATCGTGTAGAAGTCCAGGGATTCCTATGAGACATTTTCTAGTCTGAATCTTTGTTCTCAATAAAAGAATTCTGGTAATATAAAACAAAAGAACCTAAGATCATTTCTTCTGGGCTCTATACAGCATCTTAGGTTTGTCAGTCTTTTGGCCTGAAGCTACAGATTGGCCGTGGTGACCCTGATTAACATTTGCCCATCCTAGGAGGAGGACTTCTTAGAGAGACACAGGAAGGGGAACATAGGATTGCCTCTTGCAACACACACACCACAGACAGCCCTTCACTTAGTGAGAAAGAGACTAGCCCCTCCTAATACTAGTGCTTTGGTGGAGATGCTCGCAGGACAAAACCTTCCCGCTGATTTTGAGATTTTGTAGCCATAGAAGCTGCATTTCAGAGCTCTTTCATAAAGCGCCAGACCACCATTCACCTCTGTTGCAGGGATTAAGCAGGCCAGATGTTTGGCTACTCTCACCAATCCCCACACTTTTGAAAATCAAGTCTCCCACACTTTTTATCCTCAGGAAATCAATTGTCCATCTTTTCTTTTCAACACCTTAACTTAAGCAGATAATATCCCGAATTTAAATGTAATCAGTATTTTAGCTTGGCTTTCTCTTCTGTACAGAAGTCACCCATTCCAAAAAAAGGAAGGAGGGAGAAAAAGAAGGAAAGGGGAAGGGAAGGAAAGAAGGAAGAGAAGAAAGGAAGATGGATGACTGGCACATACCCTTCTTCTCTTATGTATGGTATGGGTTTTTTTTTTTTTATGTATGCATACTACTTAAAGTAAAATAACCATGTACGAGTATAACTTCCTCATTTAATTGGGTGGTTAATTTGGTTTTAGTATAACATTTACAATGTATTCACAATAGGTACCCATTCCTTCCTATCTAGTGGGGAGTAGGAGGAAGAGGAAGGTTGCATAACTAAATACAGTAATCTATTCTTGGAAATGCCTATTTGAAAGGAACATAAAATACAACTTTCATGAAGTTCATCTGAAAACCTGCCAATTTCATAAACATGCTTTTAATGAAAATCTATAACCAGTCCTTCCCCCCATCTCTCCCATATATTCTTGTACACAGGCAGACCTCGGAGATATTGCAAGTTTGGTTCCAGACCACCACAGTAAGGTGAACATCGCAATAAAGTGACTATCACAATAAAGCAAGTCACAAGTTTTTTGGTTTCCCAATGTATGTAAAAGATATGTTTATACTAAACTATACTCCATTAAGTATGCCATAGCATATGTCTAAAAAAACAACACACATATTTTAATTAAAAGATACTTTATTTCTTGCAAACATTACCATCATCTGAGACTTCAGCAAGTCATAATCTTGTTGCCTGGAGGAGGGCCTTATCCCAATGTTGGTGATGCTGACTCATCTCGGTGGTGGTTGCTAAAGGTTGAGTGACTGTGGCAATTTCTTAAAATAAGGCAACAATACAGTAGTTTACTGCATTGATTGACTCTTCATCAATAATTTTTATAATATGTGATGCTGATTGATAACATCTTACTCACAGAAGAACTATCAAACTTGGAGTCAATCCTCTCAGACACTCCCACTGCTTTATGAACTACAATTATAAGATATTCTATACTCTTTCTTGACATTTCAACAATCTTTACAGAATCTTCACCAGTACATTCAAGGAACCACCTTCTTTATTCATTCATAATAAGCAAATTTTCATCTGCTCAAATTTCATCATTAGATTTCAGTAATTCAGGCTCAATTCTATTTCTCATTCTCATGCTATTTCCATCACATCTGCAGTTACATCAACTTCTTCAAACTCTTGTTAATGTTACTATTTTGACCTCTTCACATGAATCACAAATGTTCTCAAGGGCATCTAGAATGGTGAGTCCTTTCCAGAAAGCTGTCAATTTACTTTGCCCATAGAAATTACTATCTATGGCAGGTATAGCCTTAGAAAAAAAATTTTTTAAATAATAAGACTGAAAGTCAAAATTACTCCGTAATCCACAGGCTACTGAATGGATGCTGTGTTAGCAGCCATGAAAACAACATTCATCTCATTGTACATCTCCATTTGAGCTCTTGGGTGACCAGGTGCCTTGTCAGTGAGCACTAATATTTTGAAAGGAATTTTTTTTATAACCAGGAGGTCTCAACAGTATGCTTAAAATATTCAGCAAAACATGTTGTAAACAGGTATCCTATCATCCAGGCTTTGCTGTTCCATTTATAGAGCACAAGCAGAGGATTTTCAAAATGGTAGATGATTATCAGCTTCAACTTAAAGTGGCCAGCTGCATTAGCTCCTAAGAAGAGAGTCAGCCTGTCCTTTGAAGCACTGAAGCCAGGCATCAGCTTCTTCTCTCTAGCAATGCAATTCCTAGATGGCATCTTCCAATTGACAGCTCTTTTGTCTACGTGGGAAATCTGTTAGCTTAATATAACCACGCTCACTAATTACTTTAGCTAGATCTTCTGGATAACTTGCTGCAGTTTTTACATCGGCACTTCCTGCTTCACCTTCTACTCTTATGTTATGAAAATGGCTTCTCTCCTTAAATCTCATGAAGTAACCTCTGCTGGCTTCAACCTTTTCTTCTGTAGCTCCCTCACCTCTCTCAGCCTTCCTAGAGTTACAGAGAGTTAGCACCTTGCTCTGGATTAGGCTTTGGCTGAAGGGAATGTTGTGGCTGGTATGATCTTCTACCCAGACTATGAAAACTTTCTGCATATCAGCAATAAGGCTATTGTATTTTCTTATAATTCCTGTGTTCACTGGAGTAGCACTTTTAATATCCTTCAAGAACTTTTTCTTTGCATACACATCTTGGTTACCTGTTTGGTGCAAGAGGCCTAGCTTTCTGCCTATTTTCTGCTTTCAACATACCTTCCTCACTAAGCTTAATCACTTTTAATTTTTGATATAAGGCAAGAGACATGCAACTCTTCTTTCACTTGAACACTTAGAAGTCATTGTAGGGTAATTAATTGGGCTAATTTCAATATTATTATATCTCAAGGAATTGGGAGGCCTGAGGAGGGAGAGAGACAGAGACTGGCTGGATGTGGAGCTGTCAGGACACATGCAATAATTGTTAATTAATTTCACTATGTTACATGGGTGCTTTCCATGGCACCCTAAATTACCATAGTAACATCAAAGATCCAAATATAACAATAATGAAAAATGTTAAATATTGAAAGAATTGTCAAACTGTGATGCAGAGACACACCATGAGCAAATGCTGTTGAAAATAGCACCATAGACTTGCTTAATGCAGGGTTGCCACAAACCTTCAATTTGTGTAAGAAAAAAAGCAGCTTCTGAAAGTCCAATAAAGTGAAGTGTAGTAAAACAAGGTATGCCTGTACCTTCTGAGTGCCCCCTGCATCCCAAGCACAATGCAAGACCCTGGTCATATCTACCTTGGTGAGACATGGTCCGTGCACTACAAGACCTTTTCAGAACAAACAGACATGTGCACAACTAACTAAAGGAATAGGTGAGAAAGTGACTAATTCTGTTTGAGGGAAGTAAAGGACTGTGATTCAGAGGGACACACTTGAACTTGCTCTAGTCCAGAAGGCTGAGTAAGATTCATTTAAACATTTCTGAATGCCTAATATGCAACCAGTACAGATGATGCAAAATGATATTTATAAAAATGAAAACATGGTGCCTCCCTTTGGTAAATGTGAGAGGTTGTAGAGGAAGAGAACATCCTATACAGAGAATTCAGCATAAGTAAAGGTCTGGCAGTAAGGGATGCATAGCAGACTGATGCAGACAGACAAACGGCAGGCAGCCAGAAGGGGGATGGACCTGGGGACCTTCCTGGGAAGGCTCTTCAGGCTCAAGATCTTTGACCCTTAAGGTGGGCTTTCTCTCCCTGAAGAAATTCACGTGTCTTGAACTGAGCAACTGAGCCTTGAGAGAAGTACAAAATTCACTAACTTACCACTAAGTGAATATGAAGCCTAGTCAGTTGAACTATTTTTCTGGGCTCCTGAGACTGTAACCAATTTCCCTCAGAAGACCTAAAGTAGGAGGGAAAAACTGAGTGAACTTCCCTGTGGCTGATGCCCCACTAAGATTATGAGCTAAGAGGGCATTATAGCCAGTTACACTGATAATGGTTTGACTACATGTGTTTATCTTTCTTCCTATCCTGTGTCTCACTGAAATAAAAGTCAGTGAATTTAAATGGTGAAAATCCACAAAAAAAGAAGAATAGAGCCCTGGCTGGTGTAGCTCAGTGGATTGAGCGCGGGCCTGTGAACCAAAGGATCGCAGTTTGATTCCCAGTCAGGACACATGCCTGGGTTGCAGGCCAGTTCCCAGAAGGGGACACATGAGAGGCAACCATACATTGATATTTCTCTCCCTCTCTCCTTCTCTTCCCTTCTAAAAAGATAAATAAATAAAATCTTTAAAAAAAGAATAGAGTAAAAATATCAAAAGAAAAAATGACTAGAGAAGCATAGAAATATAGAAAACAAAGAATAATTTTTAAAATCCCTGTTTTTTCAACTATTCAGACAGATTCAAAAGATATTACATCCATAAGACAAAAACAGGATGCTGTGGTGTGTGGGAGGTTGGGGGAGAGCATTTGAGAACAAACAAGAGCTCCTAAAAATTAAGTCAGTAAAAATTTAAAATTGAACATAAATAAATGTTAGAAGATAAAGTAAAATTTCACAAAGTGTGGTACAGAAAGAGAAGGAGACAAGAA